GTTAGCATAGGCCGAAGTGACTTAGAGTTGTCATGGCAGTGGGGACTTAAAAGTCTGATGTCATCCTGCTGTTAGTCAAAAGTCAAGAGGTGAACTTGGGCAGGACTCTTTGGAAACCTGAGATCCCAGTAAACTTGGAATATAAGAGAGGTATACTGTCCCTCTCCTCTCTTTCTTCCTTGAGATCATCCCCTTTTCCCTTTCCTATCCCTGGCCAGACAGGTTGCACAAGCCTATATCCCAGCGACCTGGTCGGCTGTGGCAGGAGGATTGCAAGTTGAAAGCCAACCTGGGGTGTAGCTCAGAGGAAGAGCACTTGCCCGACATGCATAAGGCCCTGGTTTAATCCTCAGCATTACAAAAAATAAAGTTAAAAAAAAAGTAAATAAAGAACATACCACAGTTTAAAAAACCAAAAAGCCAGCCTTTGGAGATGCTATCTCAAAATAAAAAAACAAAAATAAATAAAAAGGCTGGGGATGTTGCACAGTGTTTAAGCCCCTGGGTTCAATCCCCGGTACAATGAATATAAATATTGAAAAAAGAACACACGCAGGTTACTCTGAGGTAAATGTCTGAAATCTTTCCAACTTGATCACAAGAATCAGGGTTTGAAAGGGAGACCTTTGTGCTGCCTCCGTTTCCTGGAAGGCCCCATGTCCTGCAGCACTGTGACAGAACTAACTGCCGTAAACGATCTTCTTGATAGAATCCTCTCAGTTTGAGTGTCTATGTTTTATGAATTGATATCTGCCAATACTTTCCATAAAACTACAAATACCTCTTATGAAAAACATGGTTTCCTATGAAGAGAGCACAATATGCCACTCTCAATATGGTGTCACCAAGTCTAAATGGTGGTTCCAGGAGGGGGTACAAGTCTTTGAAGGCATCTGGAAAACAAAGTCCTCAGGTCCGATGTGGTCGTCCCTCATGCTACACAGGCACGGATTCTGGGCTTTGGTAGTTTGATGGTAGACTCTGTAGTTTCATGTGGAGGACCAAGTTTTGATTTCTGGCTAATGTATGTGATTGTCACTTGCTATGCATGGTTCATCAATGCCTCTACAGAGTGTCCATGAGAGTCTTTGTGGTACATGCAAGACTAGGACAGTAATCTTTTTGCTACTTCTGCTGGATTATTTATGAGTAAGGTAACTCAGGTCTCCACAGAAATATAGTCACCAGAAGCAAATTATGCAGACTTGATAGTGGTTTTAAGATAAATGATACTCGAGAATTTGTCTAAGCAGCTGGTTGAGGTGGGGCTGAGACAGGAGGATTGAGAGTTCAAAGCCAGCCTCAGCATGGTGAGGCTTGCTAATTAGTACCTCAGTGAGACCCTGTCTCTAAATAAAATAGATAAATAAAATGCCCCTGAGTTCAATCTCCAGCACCAGAAAAAAAAAAAAAAAAAAAAAGGAATATTTCTAAGCAGTAGAGAAATTGTTGGCTTTAGAAACCATGTTGTGGTCTTGGAGGGATCAGTGTTTTGCCTGAGGTGTACAACCACTGCTCCGGGTTGTGTATTGGTAAAAAGTAAGTTCTAGTATATTTCTGTAGTGTGGAACCTTAGGAAAAATACCCTCACCACATTTGCCAATATCTCTGACTGATTCAGGCAAATTATCATTTGGTCCTGATTGTGTACTGGGCTTTGTACAGGTCGTCTGGTAACTTCTTACTATGCAGGGGGGTGAAGAAACTGAGACTTCAGAGAGTTCTCCAGATACACGGAAAATAGAAATACACCAACAGTAGTAAAAGTCCTAGAGGTCCTGGCCTTATGGGACCAGAAAAGAGCAAAGTCTGTGGTGATAGAACTGAGGCCCTCTGGACTCCCAGCAGGGTAGAGGTCGGAGCCTGGGTGAATGTGGGTGGGGGACTGAGGCTCTTGACCTATCAGTGCCCTCAGCAGCAGTGCCATCGGGCTCCAGAAAGGCATGGCACATCCAGAGAGGACAGGAGGCAGGGCAAAGTGCTGGTGGTTGTGACTTCCATTCTAGACAGACAGTAGGGGGCAAATATAAAGCAAATATAATTTATTAAATTTTGAGACAGGTTCTCCCTAAATTGCTTAGGGTCTCCCTAATTTGCCAAAGTTGGTCTTGAACTTTCCATCTTCCTGCCTCAGCCTGCCAAGTTGCTGGGATCACAGGTGTTCATCACCGTACCCCACTGTAGATAAATTTTTAAAAACTGTTAGCTTAGGGTTCAGGTTGTGGCTCAGTGGTAGAGTGCTTGCCTGCATGTCTAGGGCACTGGGTTTGGTTCTCAGCATCACATATTAATAAAATAAAGGTCTATTGACAACTAAAAATATTTTTTGAGAAACTTGCTAGGCATGGTGGCACATGCCTATAATCCCACCGACTCTGGAGGCTGAGGCAGCAGGATTGCAAATTTGAGTCCAGCTTTGTCAATGTAGCAAAAACCCTGTCTCAAAAAATAAAAAGGGCTGGGGATGTAGCTCAGTGATAGAGTGACTTTAGGTTCAATCCATGTACCTTTAAAGAAAAAAACTTATATTTTGAGGTAGCACTAATTGTAAAAAACTTTAATTCTTTGACTGTGGCTCTCACCACCTTCAAAGTCAGCAGTTAAGAGCTCCTTCCCCGCTGATCACTGGCTTGGGATCTTTCTGACATTCTAGTTCTATGTGCTCTAGACCCATATTTAAAGGCCTCATGATGAATTAAGTTCACCTGGATAACCTCCCCATTTTAAGGCCAATTTAATCACATCTGCAAAATTCCTTTTGGCATATAACCCTACATAATTATACAGTAGGAAAGCTAACGTTATACTACCTCAAGACAAAACAACAGATCTTAAATAACAAGTCGTACCAGAGACAAAGAAGGATATTTCATAATTATAAAAGGCTTAACCTACCAGGAAGATATAACAATTACAAACACATATGCATCTAACAAAACCCCCAAAATACAGAAAGCAAAATCTGATGCAATTGAAGGGAGAAGTAGAAAATTCAACAATAACAGTTACAGATTTCAATACCATATTTCTAATAAGGGGTAGAAAAACTAGGCAAAAGATCAACAAGGAAATCAAATGTTTAAAATAACATGGCCAAATAGACACCAGTAGAATACAACATTTAAAAATACTGATATCATCTAAAGCTTTTGAGACTCTCAAAAACCTGGTGTATTTGCAGGCTGGCATGAGGGTTGGGCAGTTTCCTTCACTTGTCATGACTGTTGAGTGGTACAGATGGGCGTGTCCACGGTCCTGCACGTGTGGGCCACCTGCCTAGAGAGCCGGGCAGCAGGAGTGAAGAGACACACATGCGAGAGGAGTCTCTCTCACCACTGGGGAGGAATTGATATGAAGGAAATGAGGTATGTCAGGGATCACTTTCTCCCACCTGTGCCGATATTTGTAACCTCAACTTCTTTGCCACTAAACCCCCTTGCACAGGAATTCTGTGGTAACTTCTTACCACAGAAATATTTAAAAATTTTAGGTAATATGGTATTCTTCTGATTCTTCTCAGAAGAATCTCCCACCACAGACTCACAATCTTGATTTTTACCATGCTCTGAGAATATATCCTCAGCTCAACAGCATTGGTTGACCTGAAACTACTAATCACTGTTGCATAAAAACTGCTCCAAAGAATAGTTTCAATTGAAATAAGGTGGTCACTAATGTATTTGAGATATACATAAACTACGTCAAGATCTGATCTGGAAAAAAAGATTCTGTGAAATCAAACGTGACAGATTTGAAGAGATCCTGGGGAGGCAGAATGAAAGTGGCAAGCACACATTTGGCATATAGAGATTAAAAACCAAAACCCCACACAGAAGAGGAGGATGGGATCGGGAGGCAGAGGCCTGAAACCTATCTTCAAGTTAATGAAAAGCCAACGTGTTTCCTTAGTGGAGGAAATGGAGCCAGCCTAACATTGGGCACAGCAAGAAGAACCTGAAGACAGAACCCAAGTCCTCACACACCATTCACATGTAGAGAATACCATACTCAGGATTTTTTCTTATAATATTACAATAGTATGAAAAAATCTTGAGAGGAATCAGAGAATACCATATTATCTAAAATTTTTAAATATTTTAAGGAAAAAAATGATGTCATGACAGTCCTCAATATAACTTAAGAATTGGGGAAAATACTGATTCCTTTGTGTTTTCTATGCACTTGCAAAAATTAAAAAATGAATGTATGTTTGACTTTTAGACAGAGATGGCCTTTAGGATTGTCACACAGACACTGAGAAGTGCTGTGGAGGGCACAGCTTCACTAGTGGCCTTGTGTGTCACTGTGGACTAGGCAGCCAGAGGCGGGAGTTGCTGAGATTCCCCGACATCCTCCACCTTCTGATTCTGTTATCCAACTCCAGGTCTGGCACAGGGGCCTCCCTCCTGTGGGGGACTGAGCCACAGGCTGACTTAGGCTCTGAGTCTGGGCATCTTGGGCTTTATTTTTGTGGCTAAGGATTTGAAGGGTTGTGGTATGCTGACAAAGTTTATTCCAAAAGTAAGTTATGATCGAATCTGCTTTTTTTGTGTGGTGGTACTGGGGATTTGAATTCAGGGGTGCTTTACCACTGAGGTACACTCCCAGCCTTGTTTATTTAGAGGCAGAGTCACACTGAGTTGTTGGTGCCTCGCTTTTGCTGAGGCTGGCTTTGAACACATGATCCTCCTGCCTCAGCCTCCCAAGCTGCTGAGATTACAGGCGTGCAGCACCATGCCCAGCTCAAGTCTGCATTCTTTATACTTGTTTTGATTCTTTTTTTTTTTTTAATGTAAGGAAACTAAATTTTAATCACAATAAAGAACTCTTTTTTATAATTTATATACCATAGACTTCATCCATTATATTTGTATAGTTGGGTGATTTTTAATAGTTTACCAAGTAGTACAATCATCACCATGATCACTTATTTTAAATTTATTATTTGTTTGGATCTCTTATCCCCAGGTTCTGGTTCTACTTCTACCACAAACTTTAGCATGGCAGTATCTCCCGCTACTCTTTCTGGTCCAAGGAAAGAAATGAGCATTCTGGAATCTAACCAGTACTTGCTCTCTCAGCTGGAAGAAAGCAAACAGAAATTGCAAGATCTCAGAGAGAAATACCTCACTTCCAAAGCTATGGCTTTCTCTCTGGCCAACCACCTGCAGAAATATGGTAAGTCCTACTGGGGCATGGTCACCAAAGTGATAAATGTACATCAGAAGTTAAATATTCTTCAAATTTTCTGCCACGCGACCAGCACGCTAGCTTCATACTGGAGGTTCGAAACATAGAAATTAACTAGTGAGATCAAATTAAAGACACATAACTCTCAAATTACCTTTTTCTTGCCCAGCTCAGAGACAGCTTCCCCCAGCTCTTGCCTCTAGCCACCTGAGGGGGTAGTAAGGTTTACACAACAGACCAGCAAGAGAGAGAGACCATGCCAGAAAGTGAGCTTTTATTGGGGAACAAAAAATTCAGGGGAAAATTCCATCCAATGAAGGTCGAGGGGGACAGCATTCCAAGGTCAGGGTCAGTGGTCAGTCACCCCCCCCACACGGACAGGCTCTCGCACCAGGAGAGGGTCGGGAAAGCTCCGACACAGTTTAGCCAGAGCGCCTCACACCCAATCTGGGAGTTGCCCAATCACGTGCGAGAATGGCTTCCCACACTCTAACACAGCTTGCTTGTCTGAGCGCCTCACACCCAGCCAGGAAGATAGCTCAATCACGTGCGAGAACGGCTTCCCACATATCCCTCCTTTTTTCTTTTAAAAAAATCAGGCGATGATTTACTCTCTCGATACAGTAAGAAAGCACTTTTGCTCCGAAGACTCACCATCCTATAATTACAACACAAAAGAGAATTAACAGCAAAGAGAACAATCCAATAATGTACCAGGCTGAGTGTTTAAGAATATTTCCAGGGTTAAATCCATTTAACTCCTTCAATATTTGGTTAGCCAAAGAAGAAGGATCTGAAAAATCAGCTCTATTATTTTGAATTTCTGGGATATGGTGGTGAAGTTCCAAAAGATCCAAGCTATTATTATTATTTTGCCAAATACCTAACAAATGGTTCTTAACCTTCTCCCAATCCCAGAGAGAAGCATTGTACTTGGCAGCTGTAACACACACATATTTATAATTTGCGTGGCATTTAAGCCTTTCCTTAAACTTTAAAACCGAAAGTTCATTACCTATGTCTATAACAGTCGCCTCTAAGGCGTTTAACTTAGTCTCAATCCTTTCATCAATATTTACTTGATTATGCAGAGCCTTGGAAGTATTTTGGGCTAAATTAAGAAATTTTGCATGTTGAATATTTTGAGATAAAGATTATTGAGGCAGTAACACTGGATGCAATAAAAGAAACAGCGCTAAAACACCAACAATTATAATTCCAATAGCACATTTAGGTCTCGCTAGCTGGGCATGGATTTACTGTAAGACTTGAAAACCAGCATCAGCGTACCATGGCTCTGAAATATTAGCACTCCTTTTCCTCTATTATACCTAGTAATACAATTGGTTAGGTTACATTTGTTACATGTAACAACATATCTTTCATCTATCCATTTAACTTTTACATTTCCAATAATTAAAACGTAAGGAGATTGGACACAGGCTCGTAAGCCATAGCAAGATTCCTCCTTACAGTTCTTGCCAAAATTTTGGTAAAGGCTTGTCTGTAAAATATAAGAATTCTGAGGTAGCAATTAAATGCCAAACATCTTTTTGAATACCACCTTCACTATAAGTTAAAATATTACTAACAAATCCTGCAGGTGTCATAGCAGAATTTCTTCGTAATTGTCTCTTATCAATCTTTGGAGACCAGTCTAAAATATACCCACTATCTTTAGACACCTTATGTTGTACAGGAAAGGTATTTACACAATCTATCCATCTAGGAAAGGTGCCAATCTCAATTGCAGAACTATTGGGACAGTGGGGTATCCATGGAGGTTTTGCAGAAATGACTGTTATGGGAAAGTCCCATCTTAATTACTGATCTAGTATAAGGTTTTAAGTCTCCATAAATAGTATGACTAGTCAGTCTAGGTCTACCAATCGCTGTCTTTTCCTCGAATGATACTTTCAGACAGCCAGCATGTTTATCGTGGGACCAACACAAAGGTAATTGGGCACTGTAGCCAGAATAATTAAATCTAGTCACATGATTGGGAGTAATATGAGTATCTGTAAATCCTCCCATCATGAATGAGTCATTAGTAAACACTGGAATAGATTCTCCAGTCCACACAGCTGGGTGTACCAGGGGTGGATCTGGGAAATATGTCCAGTAAGTGTCTGCTTGGCCCCCCTTTACCTGACAGCCCAGCAGGGCAATCACGGTAGCTACCATCATCACTGGGGTCTTGTTTTTTCCTAGGAGTCGAATTATTCGGGAAGCCTGTGTTGTTAGCTTCTTCACGTCTTCCCATGAAATCAGCTTTTCGGCTGGGTCAATCTGGTTTCTCTTTGTCTTTTTCCGATATCTCTTCCTTTTGAGTGGGGGCTTCTCCGGGTCGATCTTCAGTCGCTTGAACCTCGGTTCTATCTCTTCCATGTCTGATTGCACGTTCAGGCACCCAGATAGGACGAAAAGCCCCTTCTGGAAAAATACAAGCATAACCTCTGCCCCACATAATCACTGGGTCTGGGCCTTTCCATTGACCAGTCTGTAAATCTTTCCACAAAACTCTGCCTAAAGGGCCTGTTACTGCAGGAGACATATGTCTGTCAGCTGCAGTGTGACCTTCTGTGTCACAGTTTAAAAAATTTAAAATGAACAAGGCATGGTTGAGGCTATTTTGGGGAGTCATAAGCCTATTCTGCCCTTTTAACTTTTTTAATTGAAGCTTAATAGATAAATGAGCTCGTTCCACAATGGCTTGACCTTGGGGGTTATAAGACATTCCTGTTTTATGATTAATTTGAAACTCTTGGCAAAATTGTTGAAAAGAAGAGCTTACATAAGCTGGTGCATTATCTGTTTCAATCTATAAAGGGCACCTTAACACAGCAAAGGCTGCTGGGCAATGAGAAATTACATGTTGAGTATTTTCTTTTGTACGTACTGTGGCAAAAATAAATCTGGAATGTGCATCAACTAAACATTATTTACCAAATTGAGGAATATGAGTTACATCCATTTGCCATATTTTGATTTGGTTTTAATCCACGGGGATTTACCCCTGATGGCAAAGATGGAGAATGAATGACATACTTAGGGCAGTGACTTACAATTTGACGAGCTTGTTCTCTGGTAATATTAAATTTTTTACATAAGCTAGAAGCATTTTGATGATGTAAGGAATGGGAAGCTTGTACACAATCATATGGAGACATCTGTTGACAAACAGCTACTAATTTATCAATCTTGTCATTACCTGAAGCTAAAAGTCCTGGAAGATTAGTGTGAGCCCGTATGAAACATGGGTATTTTCGCATTTGTACTGCCTTTTGTAAATTATGAAATGATTTAAATAACTCTTGTGATGAAGTATATCCCAATAACTGAAGTTTCAATATTTTTGGTAACTTCGACTGCATATAAGCTGTCAGAATAAATGTTAATAGGCTCATTTGTAAGGTAATTTAAGGCACAAATGAGGGCTTGAAGTTCCGCTTTTTGGGCAGAAGTATATGAAGTTTGCATTACCTCTGTGTGAACACAACTATAAAAACCTGCTTTACCTGAGCTTGAACCATCAGTGAACACAGATAGGGCTCCATCTATGGGCTGGGCACGTACAATCTTTGGAAAAATAAGCGGTGTTAATGATGCAAATTGAATAATTTTATCACAAGGGTAATGACTATCTATCTGGCCAGGAAAATCAGCAAAAGCTATCTGTCATAAGCTCTAGAAGTTTGAAAAAGCCAATTGTTTTGTTGAACAGAAAATGGAATAATTATGATATCAGGCTCAGATCCAATTAATTGTAAACCTCTCACTCTACCTTTAATTACTAATTGAGCAATAGTCATGAAAAGGAATCAATGTTTTTTGAGGGGAGTGGGCTAAATAAATCCACTCAATAACTCCCAATCTTTGCCATATGGCTCCTGTTGGGGTATGCTCAGTTGGAAATATTAATAAATACACTATTTCTTTAGGATCAACTCTAGTAAGTTGTGCATTTCTAATTGCACTTTCAACCTTTTTAAAAGCTGTTCTAGCCTCTATTGTTAGCTGACGTGGAGATGTTGGGGAAGGATTCTCTTGTAATATCTGAAATAAAGGACTCAAATCAGAAGTAGTTAGTTTTAAGGATGGCCTCAGCCAATTAATATCTCCTAATAGCTTTTGAAAATCATTAAGGGTATGTAACTTCTTAACCTTTATCTGAAGATTTTGTGGACGGATTGTACGTCTTTGAATTATCTGACCTAAATATTGAAAAGGAGGCATCTTTTGTATTTTTTGAGGAGCAATGCATAAACCCATTGCTGTAAGTGAAGCCTCTTACTGAGTAAAAATTTCGGAAAGTACATGTGGATTAGCATGAGCCAATAATATATCATCCATAAAATGAATAATATACGATTCAGGAAAGCTATTTCTTATAGGAGCTATCGCCTGATCTACATATTTCTGGCATAAGGTAGGACTGTCACACATTCCCTGGAGGAGTACTTTCCAGCAATATCTTTTAACAGGTTTTTTTAAATTAATTGCTGGGACAGTGAAGGCAAATTTTTCACAATCTCCAGGATGTAACCTTATAGAGAAAAAGCAATATTTTAAATCTATTACCATCAAGCTATAGTTTAAAGGGATGGCTGTGGGGGAAGGAAGTCCTGGCTGTAAGGATCCGATAGGCTGAATTGCATGATTTATCGCCCTTAAATCCTGTAGTAATCTCCAATTACCTGATTTTTTTCTTTTTTTTTATTTATTTTTTAGTTTTTTAGGTGGACACAATATCTTTATTTTACATTTATGTGGTGCTGAGGATTGAACCCAGTGCCTCATGCATGCTAAACGAGCACTCTACCACTGAGCCACAATCCCAGCCCCTGATTTTTTTCTTAATAACAAAAATGGGGGTGTTCCAAGGACTAAGTGTTGGCTCTATATGACCAGCCTGAAGTTGTTCCTCAACTAACCTATGAATTACTTTAAGTTTTTTCCCTGAGATGGTCCACTGAGAAATCCATATAGGCTCCTCTGTGGGCCAGGTGATCTTTTCAGCTGTCTTTTGGATCGGGGAAACACTAAGGGCCCCTAATAAAAATTTTGTTTTGGAGTATTTACTAATCTCTGTTGCGGAGACTGGTTTTCAAGCAGATACTCTCCCTGAAAGGTTTTCTTATCATCTCCGGGGAAAAAAAACCCTGCTTAACTTCCTCAATTGATCTTATAGAATTTGGAGTTACTAATAACAATCCCATTTTAGCTAAAATATCCCTTCCCCATAGGTTTGCTGGTAAGGACTCTAACACATAAGGTTTAAAAACTCCACTGTTCCCATCAGAATCCTCCCAACGGAGATAATTTGCACTTTGAGCAGGCTGTGAAATTTGTCCAATTCCCTCTAGGTTAGCTGGTGCTACATGTAAGGGCCAATTCCTAGGCCAGAATTTACTAGAAAAAATAGAAATGTCTGTCCCAGTATCTAGAATTCCTTTGATTTTTTTATAATTAATTTTAAATTCCAGTAAAGGGCTCTCCTGTCGCACTAATTGAGACCAGTACATTCTGTCTGGCGGTTTGGAAACTGAATTTACTTGAGGGTGTTCATCTGAATCACAAGGTAATAAAATTAATTGGGCAAATGTATCTTTTGGAGTAAGCCGTAGGGCATAATTGGACCTTACAGCAACATTTAATTGTCCTTCAAAATTAGAATCTATTACTCCAGGTATTACCTCGATGGCCTCTTTTAAATTATTACGTCCCAAAATTAAACCTATACTTTTTTCAGGGAGTGGCCCAAAAATCCCAGTAGGGATTTGTTTTGGCCCTGATTCAGGATTTAATTCAATTGTCATTGAGGGTCGTAAGGAAACTATCTGTGATTTATATTCCGGTAGAAATGGCAGCCTGCCATGGTCATTGCCAGTGACGTCAAATTGTGCGACCCCTCCTCCAATTCCCCATTTCTTTGGTGGGACCGGGGAAGGGCAGGGGAAGGGCTGATTGGAAGTTTTATTTTTTTTCCTGCCAGGAGGAAATGAGGACAAGAAGGCGGGCTGATCAGCGCCATCTTGATCCACCACGTGGGGCTGAGCCCTGTAATATTTACTATCAACAGCAGAGGGAGCCCTGGACTTAAAATGGCATTCTCGCGCGAAATGACCACGTTTCCCGCAGAGATAGCACCTCCCGCGGGGTTTTCGGGCCAATTCCTGTGGCTGCAAAGTTTGTTTTAATGCAGCAGCTAACGTTACTATTTGTAGATGAGTTGAATCGATCTCAGAACACAAACGGATAAACTCAGAAACTGTCCCTTTTTTTCTATGGGGTCTGAGAACATCCTGACAATATTTATTTGCATTTTTAAATGCCAATTGTTTAACAATGAATTCACAAGCGCCTGGGTCTCTTATGGAACGGTTGGCTGTCTGATACAGTCTTGCTACAAAATCAGAATAAGGTTCACTAGCACCTTGTCTAACCTTAGTTAGAACTAAATTAGATTGGTCTTTGGAAACTATCTGTTTCCAGGCACGTTTGGCACAAGCAGTTATCTGATCATATACTGCAAATTCATAATTTAACTGTCTTTTCAAATCGGTAAATTCCCCCGTTCCTAAAAGCATTTCCACTGGTGTCTGGAGATTCTGTCTCCTATTCCTTTCTGCTTGTTTAGCACAAAAATCAGACCAGTAGGACTTCCAAAGCAAGAAATCCCCGCCACTCAGGCAAGCTCTAGCTAATGAAACCCAGTCACTCGGTGGGAGCGGTTGTGAAGCAATAGTCTCCAGCAAATTTTGCACAAAAGGTGAATTTGGACCATAAACCTCACAAGCGCTCTTTAATTCCTTGATAGTCTTAAAAGGAATTACCGCGTGGACTCGAACCCGCTGATCCTGTTCAATCTGCTCAAAACCTGGGAAAAGTTGAAATTCGCTAATGTCCTCCCCCGCTTCCTGTGCCTTCTTAATACCTCGCTGGAACGGGGTAAGAAAAGTCGATGTTAATTCAGAGTACCTGTTAAATTTTGTCCTTTTAGCAGACAATGGCCGAATTCTAATAGCCTGGGCAGGCGGTGTTAAAGGCAGCCTGTTAAAATGTCCCCGCAAGTCCTGGATTTCAATGTCTGATTCCTCTCCCTCAGACTGCGACTCCTCAGCTGAATTTTCACTGTCGCCATTTTGAAATTGGGCTTGTAAGCCACGTGGTGGAGAAGGGCTCTTTACCTCTCTAGGAATTTCTTCTGGATTTTCCTCTCCAGGAGGATTACTTTCTATCCCTCCGGGAAGAGAACTATCTATACCTCCGGAGGCTTCCTTTCTATGATCTTTGTCTCTATGATCTTCCTCCAAGTTACCCTGACTCACTTCAGGCAAGCTTACATTTCTCACTTTCGGTTTAGCCCCGAGAGCTTTTGTCTTCATTGGGCTTAAGGGAAGGGAGATTACCTTAGCCTCAGACAGGTTTTCCATTTGAATAGACTTAATGGCTCTCTGAATACCCTTCAACAGATATTCAGGGGGCCATGGACTATGGCCCATGTAATCAAAAAGACAAATTTCTAAAGCAGTCCATACTCTTTGAATGTTATCAAAATTTCCAGGTAATTCATTAGAAAGGCAGATTTTATGTAATTTCCTTCCTAATTTGTCCCAAGTATGTAAATTTGGCGAATCTTGGTCACAAAACCAAGGGCAAAATTCACCTACAACCTTTAAGAATTGTAACAACTGAGTCTTTTTTATTTGCCTTCCTTTCTGATTAATTATCGTTTCTAAAATAGTCAAGTACATGTCCTTATCAGTAGAAGTCGAATTTCCCATTATTAATAATTTAACGTCTCGTCGCTTCAGTACCTCCTGGTACTTTTGTGACCCCTAAATGTCACCAATTCCTTATTTCTATAGTGCGCTCACACCCAACCTATTTAATCTAATATGTCCCCTCTTGGGCGCCACTTCTGCCATAAACTAACTAGTGAGATCAAATTAAAGACACATAACTCTCAAATTACCTTTTTCTTGCCCAGCTCAGAGACGGCTCCTCCTAGCTCCTGCCTCTAGCCACCTGAAGGTCAGCGAGGTTTACACAAGAGACCAGCAGGAGAGAGGAGGAAGCACACCAGAGAGTGAGCTTTTATTGGGGAACAAAAAATTCAGGGGAAATTCCATCCAATGAAGGTTGAGGGGGACAGCATTCCAAGGTCAGGGTCAGTGATTGGTTTGCAGGTCAGTGGTCAGTCTTACCCCCACAAGGACAGGCCCTCGCATCTGGGAAGGGTGGGGAAAGCTCAGACACAGCTGGTCTGAGCACCTCACACCCAGCCAGGGAAGTAGCTCAATCATGTGTGAGAACGGCTTCCCACAAAACTTTTTTCTTTTCTATCCTTCATCAAAATAAATTTCATCCTGGCTGTGCTCCTAGAAAGGTAGAAGTGGGTCTTTGCCCTCAGTTTGCAGAGGTTGAAAGAACTGAAAAACAAAGAAATAAAGTTTGTAGGAAGAGAGTAGGGAGAAATAGAGACTAAAATCTTGTTAAAGGTGCTAAATTGTTTTTTCTCAGAAACATGTGTCACCACTTTTGGCTGAAATCTCAGGATTCAGTTCAAGCTGTTTCTGAACACCTATTTGTAAGGCATTATGCTGGGGAGAAAGAAGTAATAGTGTATCCTAACTGCCTTAAAGGAGCTGAAAGCTGTCGGTTCCCAACTGACTCACAAATGTTTACAGATGAGAATATTAATAGCAGACAAATAGGGAAGTCTTGACGCCTTAACAAGATTCCGTTCCCACCTAAGCTCCAGGAAGACATTCATCACATTCTTTCTATCTCTTCCTGAGTGAATATGAACTTTGTAGACAAAAAGCAAGTCCAGGTGGACCTCTAGGTTCTGGATTATGTATGAGACACTTGGCCAAAATGAGACTAAGACCAAGTGGAGACCACCAGTCTCAGTCCCAGATGAGTCCAGTACAGAGTCCACAGCCAGCTGTCACACATGGAAGTCCAGTGGAACCCCTGTCCACAGCCAGCTGTCACACATGGAAGTCCAGTGGAACCCCTGTCCACAGCCAGCTGTCACACATGGAAGTCCAGTGGAACCCCTGTCCACAGCCAGCTGTCACACATGGAAGTCCAATGGAACCCCTGTCTGTTGACAACGAGGAGGAAGAAGGAACCTGCAGTGATGGAGAACCACATGGGAAAATGGGCATGAGTGGAATTCAGATATCAGAAGAGGATCCTGCCAACTTTGAAATGGATTTTGCCTTCAAATTTCTGTGATTTTTTTCAATAAATCAAGGAGGAGGGGTAAATTTTTCTAACTAGTCAGGCACAGTGGCACCTGCCTGTAATCACAGTGACTCTGGAGTCTGAGGCTGGAAGACCACAAGTTCAAGGCCAGTCTCAGCCATTTAGCAAGGCCCTAAGCAACTTAGTGAAACCCGGTTTCAAAATTAAAGATAAAGAAGGGCTGGGGATGTGGCTCAGTGGTTAAGCATGCCTGGGTTCAATCTCCAGGACCAAAAAAAAAAAAAAAAAACTATCCAACTTATTGTCGTAGACACACAAGTAAAACTTAAAGCCCACTTGTTAAAGAAGTAAAAAGATGAGCTCCGGATTGTGGAAATACTGAGTTGCTGTTGTTGTTGTTTTAAACATCATTTATCACAACCATAACACAACTTCAAGACACACATTTTTGAAGCTGAAGAAGAAACATGTTACTTAGGACTTTATATCAAATTAATGTAAAGCAGTGATTAAAAGCATGTGCTCGGGGTGGTGCGCCTGATGCTTATGGTACAGCTGCAGTGGGAAACAGGAGCTTGAGACGACCACCTGGGCAACATACTGGGACCCTGTTTCAGCAAAAACAAGCAAGAAACCTTCAAAGAACAGGTACTCTTGTGTAATAATGCTTTCTGGTTTTGAATCTCACTTGTTTTATAATACCAAGAACAAAACCTAGTGTAAACGTGGACTTTTATTAATAATAAATAACGTATCGGTACATGCTAGGCAAGCACTTTACCACTGAGCCACAACTCCAACCCAGATACATTTTTAAATCTTTGAAACACTTTGGGATCATTAGTCTTGCAGTTCTTGGTGTCTTCCCAAATACACAGGAAATCACTATTTCATGCCCCAGCTTAGTGTAAGAGGCCAAAGGTTTGGTAATCATGGTCAGACCTCAGGAAATGTGAATTCTGACTCTGCCAAATACCAATTGAATCACCTTGCCAGGTAATTTTATCTGCCCATGAACTTCTTCCCTTACCTCTAAAATAAGGAGTATAGTTGAAGATTGAAGAGTAAAGATGTGAAAATCTCTGTAGAGCTGGGTGCAGGGGTTACTTTTGTTCTGACAGTGGACCTTGCCTTCTCCCCCAGAGGCAGTGACCACAGCAGTATGTTCGGTTCCCACTGAGACAAGCTTGTCTGTCTTCCCAGAGTGTGAGGAGTACCAAGAACTCATTAAGTCTGTGCTGGAGGAGGAGCTGCAGTCTGAAGAGGGCGGTGTGGCAGAGGAGTTGAGACGAGGTGCAAGTCTTGGGTAAGGAGGTACCTGTATGAAGATCATGAATACAGCTGCCCGGGCTGGTAGAATAAAAAGTGAATTTGTGCAAGCAGAAGGGCAGAAATGCATAGGATAGGCACAGAACTAGACAAAGACAATCAATGGGGCTGCTGTCTACTGAGGTCTCCAGGGTTCTCCATTAATAACATATGAATCAAGTGGAGACAGAGGCCAGGGTTGGAGTGATAAGTATTGGCTTCTAGCTTTGTGTCCTTGAGCAAATTTACCTAATTTTCCTGCAGGTCAGTTCCCTCAGCTAGCTCATCTGCAAAGCGAAAATATTGAGGATCTAACTCAGAGGGTTGTAAAGATTAAATACTGAATAGAACCATCTCTGACACATGGTTCTACTATAATCATTATACTTGCTCTATTTTTATAGGTGTGGATTTGTCATTAATGAACTTTTTCTTTTTTCTTTTTAGTACCAGGGGTTGAACCCAGGGGTGCTCAACCCCTGAGCCACATCCCCATCCATTTTTAAATTTTTTTTCTTTTTAGTTGTAGATGGACACAATACTTTTATTTATTTATTTATTTTTATGTGGTGCCAGAGATTGAACCCAGTGCCTCACACATGCTAGGCAAGTGCTCTGCCACTGAGCCACAACCCTGACCCCTTTTTTATTTTTTATTTTGAGATAGGGTCACACTAAATTGCTTAGGGCCTTACTAAGTTGCTGAGGTTGACTTTGAACTTGCAATCTTCCTGCCTTAGCCTTCTGAGCCATTGAGATTATAGGCACGCACCACAGCACCCGGCCAATGGGCTTTTTCTATGAGAGATATTTTCAAGCTTTCCGAAGTGACTTTCCATGCAAAAGTGTTTCTCCTTCCCACTTTAATTTTAAGTATCATAGTATTAACTGTTAGGACTACTGGACAGAGAACTGAGTGGTTGTTATCTGGAAAAGGCATTATTAATTGGCTCCAGACCAGCACTGCCCCTCCTTGGAAGATTTCAAACATAGGATAGATTGTGATGTTCCAAAATTTCTGTTGACCTTTTGTTAAAATGAAATCCTAGAAGTTTAAATGTGTAAAACCTACTAACATAGAGATCTTTGATCCAAAGCAGGCATAGGTCACTTCCCCTAACAAAGCAAAGCGAATAATTTGGATAACAATCTGTACTTGGTAGGAAAGTTTGGAGGAGATTCAGGCGTCAGATTGGCCAGGTGACTGTAAATGTTAATCCAGTTTTATGATTACACGAGTCTAAGCATTAACTGAACAACTACTTATATGTGTAAATGCTACTTACTGGGGGCTGTAAGTTGGGTAAGATGTGTCACTGTAGCTTCACAGAGCTCACATTCTACATTGGAACCCATAAGAAATATGTATATAATAACTAAAAAACAAAATCTCCCATAGAGTGAGAACTTTATTTACTCCTGATTATATTTATCTTCAGGTCCTTCAAAAGAATGCTGTCCTTTTTGACCTTTACACTGATTTTTCTTTTCATCTTTCAATTAACTCCAGATATACTTGTCCAACATTTCTATCCCTGGCTTATTTGGTCACTCACTGCATAATGCTCGGCGTATATTATAAGGAAATGGACTTGGGTTGAAGTGAGGAACTAAAGGGGCATTTAAAAATATATATATATATATATTTTAGATGTTGATGGACCTTTATTTTATTCTTTTATTTATATGCAGTGTTGAGAATCAAACTCAGTGCCTCACATGCTAGGCAAGTGCTCTACCACTGAGCCACAACCCCAGCCCTCCTAAAGAGGCATTTTAAAAAAACCAAGTTAGTAAAACTCCACAAACCCAAGGATACTTCTTTGTTCCATTTGCCTCAGGCAAGTCAGACAGCTTGCACAGGAATTCAGTTTGGCAAGTTCCTGGGGGCATCCTCAGAGACATCTCTGCTCCTGTAACTACCATTCACGTCGTTCACTCCTACAGTTCACTCTTTTTTTCCACCTTAGGAAATCTGATCGCCTATTTCAGGCTCAGGCCCAAGAACTGACCTATTTACGGCAGAAAATACAGGAAGGGAGAAGCGTCTGCTATCTTTTTGCTCAGCACGTGAAAAATGCAGTCAGACCTTTTGAGAGTGTCCTCGGGAGCACCGGCGTCACCAGCTATGATGGACAAAGACTCTGTGAGCAACTGACCCAAGGAAGCAAGCTGCCAGAGAGCCTTGCCGCAGGCCCACCACTGGTACCTGGCTACAGGCTCTGAAGATGAGTTCCTCCCAGACCCCCAAAGGAGCAGGAGAGAATGCAAAGTTTTTCCCAATGTAGATTATTTTAGTTTTGAGCATGATCTTTAACCTACCTGCTATTATTTCCTTTTTAGAGAACCCAGGTAAACACTTGTAGTGTTCTTTTTTGTTTTCTTTCTTTCTTTTTTTTTGTTCTGGGAATTGAACTCAGGGGCACTCAACCACTGAGCCACATCCCAGCCCTATTTTGTATTTTATTTAGAGACAGGGTCTCACTGAGTTGCTTAGTGCCTTGCCATTGCTGAGGCTGGCTTTGAACTCGCCATCCTCCTGCCTCAGCCTCCTGAGCTGCTGGGACTACAGGCGTGGGCCCCTGTGCCCTGCATGACATTCTTTCTTGAGTCCTTAGTCTTTAATCAGTAAGAGGTAGCTGGTTTACTTTATCTTGATGAGTGTGAAAAGAATTCATCTTTATTTCTGAAAGATATTCTAATTGGATATAGGGGTTTTGGTTGAATCACCCATGAAAACATCAGAAGCATAGCAGAGACAGGCTGAACCTGGAGAGTCCCCTGATTTTGGAGTGGAGGTAGAATAGGGTCATTTGACCTCTCCTCTGAGAGTGGGCTAGGTTCTTTATGATGGCAGTAATGGTACTCACAACCATGGTCTAGCAACCAGCCTTGTGCAGAGAATAAAGGTCATGGCTGGAGAAGTTCAAGAGCTGGGCAAGTATCCTGTAAGCTGGTGAAAAAATCACATTTTTAACTTTTTGTGAATGTCCTAATGATAGTTTATCCTGTCAGGAGCACCCCTGCTCAGAGAAGTCTGCCAGGCTACTGCTCAAAAGATACAACCTGAGGCTTCCTGGAATAATTTTCTGAGTGCTCTCAACAAACATATAGCATGTTATGTCTCTGATCACACAGACCTCATGTTTCCAGTGTGTGAAATGCGACCTATTTAACTTATGACTAGCTCTTCTGTTTGTTGGTTTGTTTTATGGCAGAAAATCATAATAAGAAGGATGAAGACAGACAAAGGCTACTGGCTCTCAGGTAACTGAATGATGAAGGCTGATGATGGAATGGTGCCATCTAGAGAGGATTCCAGAAGCAGGGGATTAAGAGGTCAAATGTCTCAAATCCAGGCAAAAACCAGAAACTGCTTATTATACCTGTTTCATTTAATCATTTTACAGTGATGGATTCTTTTCAAACATGGTTGTCTGTCTGACACAATGGCACACACCTGTAATTCCAGTGACTCTGGAAGTGAGATAGGAGGATCACAAGTTCAAAGCCAGTCTCAGCAACTTAGTGAGTCCCTAAGCAACTTAGTGAGACCCTGTCGCTAAATGAAAAATAAAAATTACTGGAGATGTAGCTAAATGATTAAGGGCCCCTGGGTTCAATCCCTGGTACCGTAGAAAACAAACAAACAAACGAATTTACAAACAAACAGATATAAATAAAATAAACATGGTTGTCTGTTTTGTTTCTAGCTCTTGAGTTGTCTCCCATTTCTTAGTCCCCCGCCCTCCAAAGATGGCTTGCAGCTGTCTGGGGAATGTGTTATGCTCAGTTCCTGTAGGTTCTTTTTTAAATTTTTTTAGTTCTAGTTTTGAACACGATATCTTTATTTTATTTATTTATTTATTTAATGTGGTGCCAGGCATTGAACCCAGTGCCTCATGCATGTGAGGCAAGCACTCTATCAGTGAGTCACAACCCTGGTCCCCGTAGCTTCCTCCCGCAAGTTTGGGTAACTAGTCAGTCTGACCAAAAGGTAATTTGAGCAGGAATCCCTGGTTTCTGTATTTTAAAAGCCTGTGTTGTTAAAAACCAAAGTGAGGGACTGAGAATGTAGCTCTGTGGTAGAGCACTTACCTCACATGTGCAAGGCCCTGTGTTTGAACCCAACATTAGCACCACCAAACAAAGAAAGACACAAGCAATAACAACAACAAAACTCAGACAAAATGAGACACCTTCCTGCTTTCTGCACATAGTCAGAAAGTATGTTGGCAGATGTTTCACAGGCAGAAAATTACCTTGAAAAATAAATCTGAACCATTCAAGAGAGAGGTCTAAAAGCTACAAGAGTCGTGGGATTGTTATTGTCTCAGGATTCAATATTCAATGAACCACTTCATATAATATGAAGTCAAACTCGTATACAGCCTTGTGAATCCAATATCATAAATCTCACTGTGGCTTAAGTGTCATTAGCATAATTGTCTATTTCCTCATCTATTTGTTAAGAGAACCCGAATTCTAAGTATACTATGTCCCAAGCACAAATGGATTGTTGCACTTCCTCTTTGATAGGATGGCCTCTTTGGTTTTCAAAGCCTCTTCCATGAATTTTGGATCAGGACTAATTATTAAGCTATGGTTCTAGGCTGCCTTGATTTAATCTCTTGTCCTATGTACCCCACCAGGTTCAGCAGGGAGGTCCCAGAAGAGGAAGCAAATGAAGTCCTGGAAGACTCACTAGATGAACAGTACTTGACTCCTTCTAGCCACTGTGACTGTCAACAGCCTTCTAGCAGCAATGTGATCTTGTCTAATATGCAAGAAGCCACCTCTGCTATGGGCAGAGCCCGTGAGTATTCCTCTTAAAAAGAAAATAAGAGTCCAACAAACTTTCCATAGCTTTTATATTCTTCATGCTCACCAATTCTACCTAGACTGAGATCAAGTCTGCAGTGAGCTCTAAAGATTCTCCTTGAGCTGGGTACAGAGCTATGTGCCTCTAGTCTCAGCTTCTTGGGAGGTGGGCAAGAGGATTACTTGAGCCCAAGTGTTTAGGGCCATCCTGGACAACATAGTAGGATCCTATCTCTTTAAGGAAAAAAAAAAATCACCTTGAAAAGGTGATTGGGCTGAACACAAGTGTCAAGTCAGATAATTTGTTTTGTTTTGGGTCCATGCCTCATCCCAGTTACTCTGGCCCCAATGTCACATGTAAAGTGTGCTACCACTGCACCACATGCCCAGGATCTAACAGACCTCCTTCTTTAAGGTGGGACAGCTTGTCTTTCCTGAAATGTTCTTGATAAGTTCTTCTAACTATTCAAGAATATGGGAAATCTTGCCTATATTGCCAAAGTATGGTTCCTTGGCTTCAGTCTCAGTTTCTTTCTCCCCTTGGGTTCTTTTTTCCACGTAAGTTTCTGTCTGAGGATCAGAATATCAGGTGATTTCCCTAAAGACAAGACTGATTTTGGCAACCCTTTGGTACATGGCCAGAGTTCCCATCTGTGTGTAGCACCCAGGTTTTTTGTCTGTTTTTTAAAATCTTTGTGGATTTGGTCTCAGTGCTATAAGCTCATCCATCTATGCTGAAGGAAAGGCTGGATTTAACAGCAATGCGCCCCCCCCCCCCCCAGCATGTCTCTTTCCCAGTGACCTCAAGCTCTTCCAGACAAGAGGCCCTGGGCTGCAGCTTCACTGAGTGTGTATGGATTAAAACCTCAGTCTCCCTCACTTGTTTGGCTTTTCTTTGGGGATAAAAGTCTGCATTGCTAGGAGACTACATGCCTTATATCTTCTTCTAGGCCAGAAAATAGACCATATTGATCCATTCACTGTTAACTGAGTTTTTATCAGGTTTGTCTTTCAACCTCTTTGGGTGGGTAGTGGATGTAAGTATGTGCTTTTGATTACTCAGATCTTCCCCTTCAAAGGCATCTTCATGCCAGGTCCCTTCATCATTTGTTAAAGGGATGTGGTAGAGAGAAAAACATTCCCTAGTCCTGAAGCAAAAGACTCTGGCCATAACTACTCTTCTCTTGTCAGAGAGATTTTTATAAAGAGTGTCTTAGGATTTCACAGGAGTTCTGTAGAAAGCTCTGTGTGGTTTGGAACTTCCTCTTTCTTATAAATACCAGGTTTGCAGACAAAATGTGTGAAACCCCTGTCTTGCCTAAGAATATGGGACAAAGAGTAACTGTTCTGTTCCCATCCACTCCAGCTGTCATGTAACCACCACCACCCCCCCACCCCCGAGTATAAATCTAAAAGAATTCCCAGACTCAGGGTCCAGAGATTTTTAGGCATTATCCCCTCTGGACCACTGCAGCTTAAATAAACCTGCTTCCTGAAATTCCTCGGTGTCCAGCCTCACTGCCCTACATTGGTACCTAGGGTTAGTCACACCAAGGAGGTGGCCACACCTTTCCCGGTGCTAGATGGCCCTATTGGGAGGCCTTCGGTGTTCTCCCACCTCCTGTCAATCTCCCTTACACTTCTTAAATTCTGTGGAGTCCGCTTAGCACTTGACTAGGCTTTGTTTGAAACCCTAAGGGCTCTGGAAGTTGCTTGGTGTTCCTGGATGAAAAGGTGAGATTGGCAGAAGAATGGTAAAAGGCCGGACCTTGAGGAGAGACCCTTGCAACCACACTGATGATAAAGACTCTTTAGTTTTCTTAGTTGGTTCTTTTTAGTTACACATGACAGTAGAATTCATTTTGATATAATTGTACCAGCATGAGATATGTCTTGTTCTAGTTAGGGCCCCATTCTTAGGGATGGTGGGATTCACTATATTGTTTTGTACAAGCCCCTAGAAAGATTATTTTGGATTCATTCCATTGTCTTTCCTTTTCCTGTTCCTCTCCCTTGCTTCCTTCCCCTTTGTCTAATCTACTGAATGTCTCTTCTTCTCCTCCCCCACCCCCCTTACTGGAGAGTTCTCAAAAAACTAGGATTGGAACCACCATTTGACCCAACTATCCCACTCCTTGGTTTATATCCAAAAGATTTAAAATCAGCATACTACATGTAGCCACATCAATGTTTACACCAGCTCAATCCACAATAGCTAAGGTGTAGGGCCAACCTAGATGCTATTCAACAGATGAATGGATAAAGAAATTGTGGTATAGATACACAATGGAGTATTACTCAGCCATAAATAATAATGACTTTATGACATTATTTTGCAAATAATTGGAGACTATCATGATAAGTGAAATGACAAAGATTCCTTATCTCTTACCTCATTTCATGTC